TAGAGATGGCAACAATAGACATTCTTGTCTTGTTCCTGATCTTATATGGAAAGTATTTTGTTTTTCACCATTAAGTATGATGTTAGCTGTGAGTTTTTCATGGATGCCCTTTATCACATTGAGGACGTTTTCATCTATTCCTAGTCTGTTGAATATTTTTACAGTGAAAAGTATTGGATTTTGTTAAATTTTTTCCTGCATATATATTGAGATGATTATGAAAATTTTGTCCTTTATTCTATTAATACTAGAGGCCTGGTGCACAAAAATCATGCATGGGGGTTAGGGCTGAGGGTCCCCTCAGCCCAGCCTGCACCCTCTCCAATCTGGGACATCTCTCTCACAATCCTGGACTGCTGGCTCCTAATCATTCAACTGCCTGCCTGCCTAGTCACCCCTCACTGCCCCCCTTGCCAGCCTAATTGCCCCCAACTCCCCCTCCTCCCTGCCGGCCTGGTCACCCCTCACAGCCCCCCTGCCATGCAGCCTGCTTGTTCAGTCGTTTGGTTGTCCCTCACTAACCCCCACTGCAGGCTTGGTCATAGGCAGCCATCTTGTGAGGGTATGAGGGTTAATTTGCATATTACCTCTTTATTATATAGGATGGCACATTACCTTCATTGATTTTCAGGTGTTAAATGAACATGCATTTCTATAATAAATCTCACTTGGTGTATAATCCTTTCATATGTGGCTAGAATTGATTTGTTAGTGTTTTACCTCTTTATTCATAAAGGATATTGGCCTATAGTTTTTTCTGTGTGTGTGATGTCTTTTTTCTGGTGTTCATATCATAGTAATATTGACTTCATAAAATGACTTGGAAAGTGTTCCCTCTGGTTCTATTTTTTATGAAAATTTTTTTGAATGATTAATATTTTTTCTTAAAATGTTTAGTAGAATTTACCAGTAAAGTTATCTGGCCTGGAATTAATTTTGTGGAAAAATATTTAAGTCATGAATTCAGTCTCTTGCTACAGGTTTACTCAGATTTTCTATTTATTCTTGAATTAGTTTCAGCAGTTTGTGTTTTTCTAGGAAATTTTTCATTTTATCTAGGACACCTAATTTTTTGGTATACAGTTTTTCTTGGTATTCCCTTTTAATCATTTTTATTTTAGGTTGGTACCTCCCCCTTTTCATTCTTCATTTCTGTAATTTGAGTCTTTTTTTCTTGGTTAGACTAATAAAAGTTGTCAATTTTATTGACCTTTTAAAGAACTACTTTTTGTTTTTATTGATTTTAAAAATTACTTTTCTATTCTCTATATTGATTTGTTTGCTCTAATCTTTATTATTTCTTCCTTTCTGTTTTGAGTGCAATTTGCTCTTCTTTTTCTAACTACTTAAAGAGGAGTAGCATGTTCTATAGATATCTTTTAGGTCTAGTTGTTTTATAGTATTGTGCAAGTCTTCTATTTTTTTGCTATTCTTCTAATTCTTTCATTATTGACAGTGAGATACTGAAGTCCCTAAACTATTATTGTTGATGTGTCTATTTCTCTCTTCAGTTTGTGAGTTTTGCTTCATGTATTTTGAGGTTTTGTTGTTAAGAATATATGGTTTATAATTATTTTTGTCTTGGTTGATTGGTCCTTTTATTATTATCAAATGTCCTTCTGTGCATCTATCAATCATTTCTATCTTAAAGTATGTTTTGTCTGATGTTAGTTTAGTCACTTGAATCCTCTTTTGGTTACTATTTGCATGGTAATAATTTTCATTTCTTTTACATATAACTTGTGTCTATGAATTTGAAGAGTATCTCTTCTAAACAGCATATATTGGCATCATTTTATAAAAACAATTATGCCAACTTCTGCCTTTTGATTAGAACATTTAATTCAATTACATTTATTGTAAGTTAATGATAAGGTAGGAAAGAAAAATGCCTAACATTTTTCTGTTTGTATTCTATATATCTTGTCTTCTTTATTCCTCTTCTTTTTTCTATTTGTTCAACCTTTTGTGTTAAATAGATATTTTTTAGCATGCCAATTTAATTTACTGGTTTCTTTTATTATATATATACTAGAGGCCTGGTGCACAAAAATTTGTGCACTGGAGGGGGGTGGTTCCCTCAGCCCAGCTTGCCCCCTATCACATACTGGGAGCCCTTGGGGATGTCCTACTACCTGCTCCCTGCTCCCCTTGGGGAATGGGCCTAAGCCACAACTGGCCTCCCTTTGTGGGAGTCGACCGGGCTGATCTGGGGAAGGCACCAGCCCCATCAATGCACTGTTGCAGCCACTGCCAGTCACCGCAGCCACCAAGATGTTTTCATCAACACGGACTCCAGTCCCTTTACCATGAAAAAATGACAACTTTTTTTAGGCATTTTCAAGAAGTATCTTTCATAGGATATGACCTTTCTTTCCTTCTTCCTTCCTTCCTTTCTTTCTTCCTTTCTTCCTTCCTTCCTTCCTTCCTTCCTTCCCTCCTTCCCGTTTTCCTCCCTCCCTCCTTTCTTCATCATTTACTTTATGCCAGGCTCTG